TTTATTAATTGAGCAAACAAATTAAATATGATTATATGCCTACAAAAATTGAGTAGACAATGGGTTACAAAACTACATTTGAGTGGGCTATTAAGTTTTTATGGGATGGATAATATTAAAATATATGTAATATATTTTAATTTTATAAAAAGGCTACCTGGGCTAGAGCCCATGGTAGCCCTCTACCTAGTTCCGCCCATGGGTGTGAAACAGGTGCTGGGGAAGAGATAGGGCTTAGAATTCATTCTATGGTGACGGCTTTATAAATAGCCTTTAGATGAGGTCATATATCTTAACCGTTGAATCATATTGACTAATTTGATCAAACAGTTAAAATATAATGCCTCACCTAAGGACTATATATAATGCCCTCACTATACAATTCTTGTTTGCATTACATTCGATGATTTTGGCGCGGATGCAAACAATGCACGGTTAGTTTTGAAAATTTAACTGTGTTTTTTGAGTTAGAAAATTCTTTAATTTGGCTTTTTTTATAGACTTTTTTAATTTTATTTTAAAAGATAAAAATTAAATAAGTCCAGCTGTAATAAAGTAATTAATTTCTTTTCTAAAATGTATATATGGCAAAATTAGAGTGGAAGTATTATACGTTGACGTGGTATATCCATATTATTCTATAATTTCTCTCATTTCACATACATTTAAGATTTAGCTGAGATTGTTATTCCATTTCAAGCTCATATGCATGTGTAAGATAATCCTATCCTCAAAATTTCTATTTATTTATTTATTTCTAAGAAATCCACATACCAATTAGCAATTTCCCATTTTATTATATTAAGCAATTTTTGTAGAAATTTCACATGAACTTATACCTCAATTTCAATTTGTCACCTTAAAGAAAAATTTAAGAGAAATGCCATCTTAATTTTTCAAAACCCATGATTTGTCATTTTTCCATCCCTTTTAAGGGTATTTTAGTCTTTCTATTTTCAAGGGTATTTTAAAAATGGAAAATTCAGTATAAAACAAATTGTATATCTTTTAAACAAATAAAATTGAAACAATATATATATATATATATTATCTTCCTCCATCCCTTGTGCGCCACCGATGTCTCCAACCAATCCCACTCACCTTGAAATCCATTCCATCTTCCCTCTTCACAATCCCTTTTTACATTCCCCATTCCATCTTCCCCTTCTCCTTCTATAACATGAAACACCTACCTTCCACACACAAATTCCCTCAGCCCACCCAAACTGAGTCCATCTTTTTTTTAGTATTTTTCTATTTGCATATTGAAAATTTGTGGAAGGACAGCTACCAAACCAACAATTCAGTAGCCTATAGATGGTGACCAAGGAAACTTTACATCCTTCAATAGAAAACACAGTGGTATAAGTTAATTGAAATTCGACCAAAAAAAAAAGTTAATGAAATTATGAAGACAAGAAACGGGTTGGATTTTGGGTGGGAAGCTTAAAGTAATTTTAAATCAGGTATCTGAAATTTTCATACATGCTCAATGAAAAGCATAATTTTTTTTTATAATACATGCTTAGAGAGAGAGAGAGGGGGGTTGTACGATGTAGTTTGGGGGCGGTTGGAGTTGGGGTAGGGGAGAAAGGGAGAGAGAGGTCCTTTTTTTTCTCTCTTTTTTTTTCCTTGAAAATGGAAAGACTAAAAATATCCTTAAAAATGAGTAGAAAATTAGATAGTGTTAAAGTCAGATAACAAATTATGGATTTTGAAAAATTAAGATGACATTTCTCTTAAAAAAAAAATTAATAATTAAGGTGACAAATTGAAATTAAGGTATTAGTTTATGTGACATTTCTTAAAAAATTCCTTAGACTTTTTCTCACAAATGGTCCCTGAGGTTTGCAAAATTATCACCTTTTGTCCCTAACATTTTTTTGTGACGCTAATATTCTTTAACGTTATCCTCCACACATCAAAATGGTCCCTGCCGTTAGCTTCTGTCAAATTTTCTGTTAAATTACTGACGTAGCACATATGTAGAACCCACACATCCAATGGTGTAAAGGCACATGCCTTTAAATTAAATAAAATAAATTTTAAAACTTAAAATCCCTTTGGAAAAAAAAAAATTTCTCACTTGCTATATTCTGTCTTTCTCTTTCTTTGTTCATCAAAGCCAAAGCCAAAGCAGCAAAAAAAAAAAAAAACCAAGAGATCAAAGATATCAACTTTAAAGCTCTCACCTTTCAATTTCCAAACAAAATCCATTACAAGTTCTGATCACCATGTACTGCCTTTCTACTTCGATGAGAAGTGGAAGCTGTCAAAGAAAAAAGGGTCGTCGAGATCGAGCCGTTCATCTTCTTGCCCTCTCATAAGTGTTTTTTAAGGGATTTTAAGTTTTAAAATTTATTTTATTTTATTTACAGCCATGTGCTTTTATACTATTGGATGTGTAGGCTCTACACATGTGCCACGTCAGCAATTTAACAAAAAAATTGACATAAGCTAACGGTAGGGACCATTTTGAAGTGTGGAGGATAACGTTAAGAGCCATTAGTGTCTCAAAAAAAAATAGGGGGTGAAAAGTGATAATTTTGCAAACCTCAAGGATTATTTGTGATAAAAAGCCAAATTCCTTATATTAATGAATTTATGACATCAGTGGTCCATTTCCAAGTTTGGGCTACCATGTGGCCAACCAAGTTCAAGTCGAAGAGTGACATTGGGTTGGGTTGGGGCCCTTTGACCATAAAATAAAAATAAAAATTCCATGTTATATAAAGCCCATTGATTACTTTATGATAGAATTCCATTTTTTTTGCATTTATTATATTTATGGAAAATAAAAGGGTATGTCATGACCAAAATATTTTAAAAGTGAAAATATTTTATATAACATTCTAATTTTTACTTTAAGGTAGAAAATGCCGTCTTTCGTGATGGTTAAGATAAAACGCAATGTATCTTGACCGAATCATAATAGTATGACGTGCAATCACTCCAAATCTCTACCTACAGCATCATATTTTTTTTGTTTATACAAAATAATTAAATGATCAGCTCGAATTTAAAAGTGTTAACTTTACAAGTTGAAATGTTGATGAAGCTTATGACTAGGACATGTCTATGGCTAGCTATGAGATAGGCACGCAAATGACAACCCAGCTTTCTAATTAAACCGTGTTTAATTAGAACATCCCTTTAGCACCTCGATATAAAATTAATTCTTTAATTAATCCAATTGGTCTTTTATTTTATAATTGTTTCACCTAAGTCAAACCATAAACAGAAGAATACATGGATGGATTGATAAGAAAGATCAAACTCCTATCCTATCTTAGCATAGATTGTAATATTTTTTTGAATTGTTAATGCAATCTAAATAACAAAACTATGATATAGACATCCCAATTAAGATTGCAAATTCAGAATAATAAAAAAGATATAAAGCTTTAAAAAAACTAATTCATAACAATACAAATTAAACTCTCAAAAATGAGAATTTCTTCGATCATGCGTAATCGTTAGTAGAGGCAGAAAAAATTGTCTTAATTTTAATGTTAGATCGCTCATTTATTGTAATAACCATTTGTGACTAGTGGCTTATTTTAGCTGAATTATGAATGCAATCACAAAATTTCTAGAAAAATATATTTAAAAATAGCAAAACTAGAAACGTAATGACTTGTTTTCATGAACAAAACAAAAAAACGTTATGACTTTTTGAGAGCCCAACATAACGAGCTAACCAACCTAATTATTTTTATTTGATTAAAAGCAGCTTCAATTTTGTACAACTAAAAAGACAATATAAATTAATTTATTATTATGTGGTGAATTTTTTGGGTTGTGTTTGTCAGTATTTTAAACACTTTATTTATCAACATTCTTGATATTAAGTAATAGTTTGGCATTGCTTATTTGTGGTGATAAGTGATTTTTAAAAAAAATTGGGAAGCACAACCCGTTTGATAAACTATGAGAAAATCACTTATTGTTAAAACTTGCTATGAGATAAAGTTATAAGGGAAAATAGCTAATGAGGTGTTTTCATTTTCTGATTATGCATGAATTAGTTTCAAAGAGAAGTTGGGTTTAATGATTATGCCACAATCATTTCTGATTATATGGGAATTAGTACCAACAACACTCTTAACGAAAAGTTTACCAAATGCCAAACTGTTTTCTCTCACAGCAAATCTGATAACGATTATTTTCACAGCATATTAATGCAAAACTAGCCCTAAAATTTATTTAAACAATTTAGTGCTAATCACATATATATATATATATAAAACGTGGCAAACGGTAAATTACGAACTTATAATTTATTGGATTTTTGTATGATAGTAATTACCTTTGGAATAACATTTAAAATTCCGACCAAAAAAGAAGAGTGGTATATATAATTATCGCTCGAACTGTATAAATACTCGTAAGAACGTCACGTCATGTGGAAATTTCATAAAAACAAACAAAAGGCGAGATCCGACGTAATTTCCACGCTCAGCGGTTAAATTTGGACTACTCTCTCTCTCTCTCTCTCTACCCCCGCGCTCTCTCTCTTAGCAGCCTCGGCCTCGTCGGAGCCAACCAGAGACGCAGCTTAATTTGGGCACCGGAGATACGAAAAGCACATACGCTGGATATTCTCATTATCCGGTAAGACCCTTGCCGGATTATTCCTCATTGTGTTCTCATTCTCTTGTCTTTCCAATTTTCGCTCTCTCACTCCGATTCAGCACCTCCCGATTCATTAGTGGTCAATTTGATTGCTGAAAATCACAACCACGCGAATTGAATTCCACAATTTTCGACTTGTCTCTTCGCTCCATGATCCGTCGCTGGGTGCTTCGGTTCCCTACAATCTTCAATACAAAAAGATTCGATCTTTTCTTAATTAAGAGCAGTGCTATAACTTGGTTTCATTGAATTTACATTTTTTTTTTTGGGTATGGTGTGTGGAGTTTTTGTTGAAGTTTAACTTTTTGTTTGTCTTGGCAGATCCTAAATTCTGAATTTCCGTGAATCGAAGAGTTTGGTTTTGTTATTTTTGTGGGAAATGAGCTTGCAGTGATAGCAATGAAGAAGGTGTCGAGAAAGGTAGGGAAGTATGAGGTTGGGCGAACCATCGGCGAAGGAACATTCGCCAAGGTTAAGTTTGCCAGGAACATCGAAACCGGTGAAAGTGTGGCCATGAAGATTTTGGCCAAAAGCACCATTCTCAAGCACAGAATGGTTGATCAGGTATTCACTTGCTCTTCCTTCCTTCAATCCCAAATACAATTTCACACACACGTATAAATCAATATGTGTGTTTAAATTTTCGTGTTATATGATTGCTCCTACTTGGACTAAATGACTAGGCTAACTTCTTTTAGTTCTGTTTCAGATTAAAAAAGAGATATCCATAATGAAGATTGTCAGGCATCCTAATATAGTACGGTTGCATGAGGTATTCTTATACTTCCCCGGATAAACACGTCATTTCTTTGAGGACTTTTCTTGTTAACATTAAGAAATTGCTATATATTCTCTTCTTGACATCACCGCTGATATGGCGTTTTTTCTTTTCCTTGTCACTTTTGGCTCTCTCATTTCAAAATTCTAGGTTTTGGCGGACTGGACGAAAACGAGTTTGTAACTGGAGGAGAATTGTTTGATAAAATTGTAAGGTTTCTTCTTGACTTGGGACCATCGTCATTATAACCAACTCACTTACATTCCTGTAGGTTTATCTCTTTATGCCAGAACATTTTAACACTTAATTTTGATTTACAGGTTCACCAAGGAAAGCTTCCTGAATATGAATCAAGGAAATACTTTCAACAGCTCATAGATGCAGTTGCCCATTGTCATAGTAAGGGTGTGTTCCACAGAGACCTGAAGGTGCAAATCAATATTCAGTTTGACGCTAATTTTTCTACTTGCATTTGTGATTTCTATACAGTGCTGTGTTCCTGAGTAGTTCTGTATTTTATTTGTGATATAATTTGCAGCCTGAGAATCTTCTCCTTGATTCTTATGGAAATTTGAAGGTTTCTGATTTTGGACTAAGTGCATTGCCTGAACAAGTAAGAATTATCTCATTTTATATGCATTCTATCAAGCTTGAGAAGTTTACTTTTTTTAATATGCTTTTCTTAAAATTTATCCTTTCTTCTTCTCTTCTCTTCTATCTCTCTGACTAATACTTCTACATTGCCTAATCTTTGAGCAGGGAGTTGGTCTTCTTCACACTACGTGTGGAACCCCAAACTATGTTGCGCCTGAGGTACATTTTTTATACACTTCACTGTTGCATTCACACCATCCAGTCGATGAGATAGATACCCTGTGACTTGGTATTGTGTGCCAAAAAGAAGAAGCAATAATTATAGAAGTCAGGTGGAGAGAACAAAATCTTATGCTAAATATGTTATGCTACCATTGCCTAACAGGTGCTGGGGGACCAAGGTTATGATGGCGCAGCTGCTGATGTTTGGTCATGTGGGGTCATCCTATATGTTCTAATGGCTGGATATCTCCCATTTGATGAGATAAACCTTCCTACCCTATATAGAAAGGTATGCTACCATTGTTCAACATATTGCATTGTCCATGCCTAACACAATCATTTTCTTTACTATATATCTTAAAATTTTATTTTATTTTATTTTCTTCCCTTCTGGATGTCTTATATATTCATACTATCCTATTGTATTCCTATTCACATACTTTGTTGTACCACAGTATCAGACATACAACCAGTATAGTCCCCAGAACACATTTGTGCCTTTATCCCCCCTTCCTTTCACTTCTTGTCACTCCCACAATTATTCTTTATGGACGTTATAAGAGCATTTTATACTGCACAAGCGTGATAGGAGCTTCTAACCGTTCATTTGGCTTGTCTGTAGATTAATGCAGCAGAGTTTTCCTGTCCATATTGGTTTTCTCCCGAGGCAAATTCTCTGATACATAAGATACTTGATCCTAATCCTAAAACTGTGAGTATTTTATTTCAACATATGCAGATATTAGTAATTTCCGAGACAATTGATTTAAAGGTCTATACGGTTAACTTCACATAGTATTTTCATGATCAAATAAAGTGTGTTTGTACAAGTATTTACCAAATTTTTTCTATGTTTATTGGAAGCCATATGCCCGTAGAGTATGTGCTATAATAGGGAGGAGGGTCTTGGTTGACTTATAATGTCAGTTCAGGGAAAAGAAAAAAATCTGCATTACTGGGACAAAGTTAATGATTCTCCTTTGCTTTCTTTAACTGGTTCATGTGTTAATGCAGCGTATTCAGATTGGAGGAATCAGAAAGGATCCTTGGTTTAGGAAAAATTATGTGCCTTTCAAAAATGGGGAAGATGAGGAAGTGAGTTTGGATGATGTTCGTGCAGTGTTAGAGGATTTTTCGTAATAGTTTCTGTACTCTGAAAACCCCTGAGTTTAGTCAAATTAACGAATTTGCCACTTGAACTACTAACGGCCAGCGTTGCTTGAGCTGGGCCCAATACCTGACGCAATTACAAATTGAAGGACTTGGTTGACATCCTGGGTGGAGCCCATGGGCCCACTGGATCGATTCAACGGCGAGCTTTGTACCGCCAAGGCGTGAGCATCACGTCATGGACTGGATTCTGATGGTGCAGCTCACCTCCCTTTGCATTTGCAGGATTTGTTTTGTATTCGATCTCCCACAGTGACTCTTCTTTGTTGCAGAGCGGGGCAACTTGCTCCATCATGGGTAAATTTGTCATTTCAATGTGCTGAGATATTTTTATTTAACATCCTGTTTATTATTCTGTAGTCATTTCTCTCTTGTTTGGTTTTGAGTCGTTTTGACGAATGTGGTTTCGTCGGTACGTGGATGATTGAGACTTAATTTGCAGAGAGGGAGAAACATTTACATAAAACGGGGATAATACTATTTTGCTATTCTCGGTCAATCACAATATGATAAACGTGATAATATTTTTATGCAACAGTCTGTGATTGGTCAAAGATAACAAAATAATGTTATATCCGTTTTATACAAGTTTTCTTGCATGAGATGACAAAATTATATATGCGCATGTCTATGTGGCCTTCACTAGAAAGTTTATATTTCAATTGAGGGACACTAAATTTGTTGGTCAAATATGTTGAAGAATATAAAGTCTCAGAAATTTGACATAATAAATACAACATATAATGAATGGTTACACTACTAATATCACTAAGGTATTTCATGATAAAACTCCACATCTACTAGGCTACTTAGAGCATCCACAGTGGGGAGGTGTAAATTTGGAGATGTAAAGTTACTTTTACATCTTCTTTACACCTCTGGGAGATGTAAATGTCATTTTTGCTCCAATGAGTTGGATGCAAATTCAAAGATATAAATTCGATTTTCTTGTGTTAATTTGTTTTTTGAGTAAAAAAAAATTTATGTTTTTTTTTTTTGGTTGATTTTTTTATGTGTTAGGTTTAATTATTTTTTCTAAACAAATCAACCTAAAATTTTAAAAATTCCGATAAGATATAATTTCTTTCAATATGATGTAAATAAAATTAATCTAAATTGTCCCTTTTGATATGAATTTATTTTTCACCGTTAATCAGTTTTATATTTCAATTTGAATGAAATCTGGCCATATATTTCAATTTGCATCATTTTAATAACTTCCCCATTTTAATAAATCTCAACCACACCCTGAGCCCACCATTTTAATAACTTCACCATCTTTTAGGCAGTTTTCCAATCTACTCTCTCTTGCCTTTTCTGTTACGAGACCCACTTGGATGGGTGTAAAATTAGATGTACATTTGCATCTTTTTTCCCATCTCACGGTTGTGATGTATATTTACATTCGTATACACCTCCTCATTGAAGGACATTCCGGCAACCAAATGTGTATATTTGACATACACCTCCATATACACCTTAACACTGTAGATGCTCTTAGATAATAAGTTTTGGACAATATTTGTGTTGCTAATAGTGGACCATTAGTATATGTCTATGAAATTTAACAAAATAGAGCTATTCTACAATACTTCCCATTGTGAATCTGTGAATTTGTGAATTTGTGAATGGTGTTGCAGTATGTTTTTGTTAATCACCCACAAGCACATGAGTGATTATCAATGTTCTTATTTAAAATTAGACTCATTTAAACTTCAGTTTTTAAGCCACACATAAAGAGAATAAGAATTTTTTAAATCTATGAAGCAGGGAGAATGCTTTTATTTATTTATTTGTTTGTTTGTTTGTTAGCCTTTACTAATCTCTCGATGGGCTTAAGTTGGCATTGATGTTCTGAGAACCTGTCTGCACCTCTCACATGCCACATCCATTATTTGGCAAATGGAACCAAACATGGCAGTAGTTTTCGAGGGTGACTTGGTGAAGGGTCATTTTCCACATACGTACTTCCAACTATCCAAAATGGAAAAGTCTCCTTTTCAAATAATGAAAATTTGTGGAATGACAGCTACCAAACCAACAATTCAGTAGCCTATAGATGGTATCCAAGCAAACTTTGCATCCTTCAACAGAAATACAGTGGCATAAGTTAATGAAACTATGAAGACAAGAAATGGGTGAGAAACTTAAATAATTTTAAATCAGGTATCTGAAATTTTTAGACGTGCTCAATGAAAAACATACTTTTTTTTTATAAGAAGTTCCTCTTGTTTTTGTCCTTGGGCTTTGAGAGAGAGAGAGAGAGAGAGAGAGAGAGAGGGAGAAGAGAGGGTGATGAGGGGTTGTACGATGTGTTTTGGGGGCGGTTGGGGTTGGGGTGAGGGAGAAAGGGAGAGAGAGGTCCCTTTTTGCTCTCTTTTTTGTCCTTGAAAATGGAAAGACAAAAAATATCCTTAAAAATGGATGAAAAATTATATGGTGTTAAAGTCAGATAACAAATCAATTTTGAAAAATTAAGATGACATTTCTCTTAAATTTTTCTTTAAGGTGACAAATTAAAACTGATGTATTAGTTTAGATGACATTTCTTAAAAAATTCATTATATTAATGAATTAATGACATAAGTCCATTTCCAAGTTTGGGCTGCCATGTGGCCAAACCGATTCAAGTCGAAGGGTGACATTGGGTTGGGTTAGGGCCCTTTGACCATAAAATAAAAATTCCATGTTATAGAAGCCCATTGATTTCTTTATGATAGAATTCCACTTTTTTGCATTTATTATATTTATGGAAAATAAAAGGGTATGTCATGACCAAAATACTTAAAAAGTGCAAATATTTATATAAATTTCTAATTTTTACTTTTATTTTTGTCTATAGCCAAAAGGTAGAAAATGCCGACTTTTATGATAGTTAAGGTAAAATGCACCGTATTTTGACTGAATCAGAACAGTATGACGTGCATGGTGCAATCACTCCAAATCTCTACCTATGACGTCATCTTCGTTTTGTTTATACAAAATAATTAAATGATCAGCTCGAATTTAAAAGTGTTAACTTTACAAGTTGAACTGTTGATGAAGCTTACGATTAGGACATGTCTATGGCTGGCTATAAGATAGGCATGCAAATGACAACTCAGCTTTCTAATTAAACCGTGTTTAATTAGAACATCCCTTTGATAAGCACCTATATATATAATTAATTATTTAATTAATCCAGTTGATCTTATATTTTATAATTGTTTCACCTAAGTCAAACCATAAACGTAAGAAGTCATGGATGGATTGATAAGAAAGATCAAACTCCTATCTTAGCTTAGATTTTAATATTTTCTTGAATTGTTAATGCAATCTAAATAGTAAAACTATGACATAGACATTCCAACTAATATTGCAAACTCAAAATAAAAAGATTTAAAACTTGAAAAAATCAAGACATACAATACAAATAAAACTCTCACAAAAGAGAGTTTATTTGATCACGTGTGATCGTTAGTAAAGGTGCACCAAATTATCTGAATTTTTATGTTAGACCACTCCGTTATTGTAATGACCATTTGTGACTAGTGGCTTTTTTTGGTTGAATTATGAATGCAATCATAAAATTTATGAAACATATATATATATATATAAAACAACAAAACAAAACTAGGAACGTAATGACTTGTTTTCATGAACAAAACAAAAAACGTTACGACTTTTTGAGAGCCCAACATAACAAGCTAACCAACCTAATTATTTTTATTTGACTAAAAAAAGCTTCAATTTTAAACACTTTATTTATCAACATTCTTGATACTAAAATTCGTTTAAGCAATTCTATAAATAGTAGTTTAGTGCTAATCACATCCATATATATATATATCACGTGGGAAACGGTAAATTATGAACTTATAATTTATTGGATTTTTTGTATGATAGTAATTACCTTTGGAATCTATCTATCTATCTATCTATATCTATATATAAAGCAAAAGGCAGAGAATGGTGAAACATTCAAAATATCAAAAAATGTCATTTATTAATTCAAACATTAAGAATTGAAATTATTAATTAAATTAGGATAATATGGTAAATTCATATTTTTTATATTAAAAAAATTTAAAATAAAAACAAAGTCAGATAATAGCTCCTACTTTTATGGAACGTAACTACCCATATTATATTTTCTTAATTCTTAACATAATTATAAATAAAAAAAAACCAAATTGGCACATGCTCAGGGGTTAGTATATATAAAGTGAAAGACAGAAAATAGTAAAACATTCAAAATATCATAAAATGTCATTGGTTAATGTAAATATTAAGATTTGAAATTATTAATTAAATAAGAATAATATGGTAAATTCACACCTTTTTATATTTTAAAAAATTAAAATTAAAAGAAAAATTAGATAATAGATCTTACTTTTATAGAACACAACTATCCATTTTATTTTTTAATTCTAAAATAAATTTAAATTTTTTTTGAAAAAAACATATTGCAAGTGCAGAAGCGTGCGTAAAGGCTAGCACTTAAAATTCCGACCAAGAAAGAAACTCAAAATCAAAACATATTTATAAAAAAAGTGGTATGTATTATTATCGGTCGAACTGTATAAATACTCGTAAGAACGTCACGTCATTTGGAAATTTCATAAAAACAAACAAAAGGCCAGCTCCGACGTAATTTCCACGTTCAGCGGTTAAATTTGGACTACTCTTTCTCTCCTCTCTACCCGCGCTCTCTCTCTTACCAGCCTCGGCCTCGTCGGAGCCAACCAGAGACGCAGCTTAATTTCGGCACCCGGAGATACGAAAGCACATACCTTGGATATTCTCATTATCCGGTAAGACCCCTGCCGGATTATTCCTCATTGTGTTCTCATTCTCGTCTTTCCAATTTTCGCTCTCTCACTCCGATTCACCACCTCCCGATTCATTAGTGGTCAATTTGATTGCTGAAAATCACAACCAGCGAATTGAATTCCACAATTTTCGACTTGTCTCTTCGCTCCATGATCCGTCGCTGGGTGCTTCGGTTCCCTACAATCTTCAATACAAAAAGATTCGATTTTAGTGCTAAACCTTTGTTTCATTGAATTTACTTTTCTTTTTTTGGTTTGGTGTGTGGAGTTTTTGTTGAAGTTGAAGTTTTTGTTTGTCTTGGCAGATCCTAAATTCTGAATTTCCGTGAATCGAAGAGTTTGGTTTTGTCATTTTTGTGGGAAATGAGCTTAGAGAGATAACAATGAAGAAGGTGTCGAGAAAGGTAGGGAAGTATGAGGTTGGGCGAACCATCGGCGAAGGAACATTCGCCAAGGTTAAGTTTGCCAGGAACATCGAAACCGGTGAAAGTGTGGCCATGAAGATTTTGGCCAAAAGCACCATTCTCAAGCACAGAATGGTTGATCAGGTATTCACTAGCTCTTCCTTCCTTCAATCGCAAATACAATTTCACAGACACGTATAGGTCAATATGTGTGTTTAAATTTTCGTGTTTTGCTCCTACTTGGACTAAATGACTAGGCTAACTTCTTTCAGTTCTGTTTCAGATTAAAAGAGAGATATCCATAATGAAGATTGTCAGGCATCCTAATATAGTACGGTTGCATGAGGTATTCTTATACTTCCCCGGATAAACACGTCATTTCTTTGAGGACTTTTCTTGTTAACATTAAGAAATTGCTATATATTCTCTTCTTGACATCACCGCTGATATGGCTTTTTTTCTTTTCCTTGTCACTTTTGGCTCTCTCATTTCAAAATTCTAGGTTTTGGCGGGCCGGACGAAAATATTTATAATTCTCGAGTTTGTAACTGGAGGAGAATTGTTTGATAAAATTGTAAGGTTTCTTCTTGAATTGGGACCATCGTCATTATAACCAACTCACTTACATTCCTGTAGGTTTATCTCTTTATGCCAGAATATTTTAACACTGAATTTTGATTTACAGGTTCACCAAGGAAAGCTTCCTGAATATGAATCAAGGAAATACTTTCAACAGCTCATAGATGCAGTTGCCCATTGTCATAGTAAGGGTGTGTTCCACAGAGACCTGAAGGTGCAAATCAATATTCAGTTTGACGCTAATTTTTCTACTTGCATTTGTGATTTCTATACAGTGCTGTGGTCCTGAGTAGTTCTGTATTTTATTTGTGATATAATTTGCAGCCCGAGAATCTTCTCCTTGATTCTTATGGAAATTTGAAGGTTTCTGATTTTGGACTAAGTGCATTGCCTGAACAAGTAAGAATTATCTCATTCTATATGCATTCTATCAAGCTTGAGAAGTTTACTTTTTTTAATATGCTTTTCTTAAACTTTATCCTTTCTTCTTCTCTCCTCTTCTATCTCTCTGACTAATACTTCTACATTGCCTAATCTTTGAGCAGGGAGTTGGTCTTCTTCACACTACGTGTGGAACCCCAAACTATGTTGCGCCTGAGGTACATTTTTTATACACTGCACTGTTGCATTCACACCATCCAATTGATGAGATAGATACCCTGTGACTTGGTATTGTGTGCCAAAAAAAAGAGAGCAATAATTATAGAAGTCAGGTGGAGAGAACAAAATCTTATGCTAAATATGTTATGCTACTATTGCCTAACAGGTGCTGGGGGACCAAGGTTATGATGGCGCAGCTGCTGATGTTTGGTCATGTGGGGTCATCCTATATGTTCTAATGGCTGGATATCTCCCATTTGATGAGACAAACCTTCCTACCCTATATAGAAAGGTATGCTGCCGTTGTTCAACATATTGCAGTGTCCATGCCTAACACAATAATTTTCTTCACTATATATCTTAAAATTTTCGTTTATTTTCTTTTCTTCCCTTCTGAGATGTCTTATATATTCACACACACTATCCTATTGTATTCCTATTCACATACTTTGTTGTACCACCGTGTCAGACATACCAGTATAGTCTCCAGAACACATTTGTGCCTTTATCTCCCCCCTCCTTTCACTTCTTGTCACTCCTACAATTATTCTTTATGGACGTTATAAGAGCATTTTATACTGCACAAGCATGATAGGAGCTTCTAACCGTTCATTTGGCTTGTCTGTAGATTAATGCAGCAGAGTTTTCCTGTCCATATTGGTTTTCTCCTGAGGCAAATTCTCTGATACATAAGATACTTGATCCTAATCCTAAAACTGTGAGTATTTTATTTCAACATATGCAGATATTAGTAATTTCCGAGACAATTGATTTAAAGATCTATACGGTTAACTTCACATAGTATTTTCATGATCAAATAAAGTGTGTTTGTACAAGTATTTA